TTATGTACGGTTTTTCTGGCTTCGATGTTCATCAATACAAGCACAAATAAGAGCTAGTGATTAAAGCTTTTGGTTGAAATCGGCCGCCGTTTATGTTATTTTTTCTGTTCTTCTATCCGCAGGAAAAGAATCAGTTAAAGGAAGACCTAGAGAGGTTTGCGACTAGTTTGTTAATTCTTCTAAACTTTTCAGTACGACAAACTATGATAAGCCTCTGCACTTATTACCGTGGTTGAAAAAGCCAGTCAATCGTTTTTCATTAACCGACTACGATGAAATCTTGCCTCACAAATATTCCTCCAACGTCGTCACAGCCTCGTTTTTGTACCGAACGAAAACTCCATCCTTACAGCCAGAGATCACTCCCCGTGTTCCATGGTCGATATCTTGGCTTAGTCGTAATGAATGTGGGAAAACCAGAACTTATATTTGAGTGCGTAGCTGTCCACAAGTTGTTGTCAAAGGCGACTAACCATCGCGTTTTCATTTACAGCGAGATTGCACAACTAACAAGGGAACTTGAAGAAAAGGAGGTGAGCAAGTTTACACTATATTTAATCATTTAAATCTATTAGCACTCTATTACAAATGCCACAATCTGATTGGCTACACTACTCGCTATCCATTCTGGGATACACAGAGAGTAGAGTAAGGAATCAAACAGTTTGCTGTAGTAAACAAAATAAAATAACAACATAAGTCTCTCCTGTTGCTAAGTTTTGAACGAATATTAGATTGTTTGCTGACGATTTCAACACGTGATTATTGATTCGGACTTCGCCTTCATCAACTAAAGAAACCGAAGAAAAGCCGAAATCTACCGAAGAGAAATCGAATACAAACCGAAGAGAAAACATATAGCCTTCTGAATACTTTTTTCTCCGCTGACTGCTAGGGCAACCTTGCTAAATCAGCGAAATTCTTCCAAGCCTTTTCATTATCTCCTTACTGTTTCTTAGGAAGCAATCCCTAACAGTTTCGAAACTGAACAGAAATTTAAGGTATGAATGCACTATTATGGCAGAGGTCGCATACTGCTTTTTGTTGTCGGTTTTGATACATGATACATGTCCTACATTCTTTAAGCTCAAGTTTACAGCCATAATAATAACAGATAACGGGAGATAAAGTTTTTTTAGTTAGCTTTTTACCTGTCATTAAACATAACTGACTTGGGACTGACCTGTAGAAAGGTTGTATGAAAAGATGAAATAATTACAAAAGCATCATACTGGAAACGTTCGCGACTCGTACACAATTAGCAAGAAGCCTGGAAGGAATGTGTGCACCGATTGCCTCAAAGGTTAGCTTCCCAAGAGATTAAAAAAAAGTTTGCCCAAATTTTTCATCAAAAACACAATGTTCACTCAGAAAAATATATAAACAATAAAGGTATGTATAATCTGAAAGTCCTCTTCAGTATGGGGCTATTGTAAAGGTCTATCTCTAACACGTAACACGTAACACGTATCTTTTTTTTCTTTTTATCAGATGAAGAAAACTGAGACATACAGGTAAACATAATCAGGCTCTACAGAGATGTGATTTCAAATTCTAGATTCAGGTCTTCTAAATTGTTAAATCAATGCAGTCCTAAACGAACGAATAACTACCTTGACGGCTTCTTTGTCGTCTCTGGGGAACAGCTACATTTAATGTGGCCGGCTTACTTTTTTAATTCTCCACAGAACAATGAAAGAGCTTTTCGAAAGAGAGAAAGAAATAGCACGAAAGGTAAGTGAAATTCTCATCTTCAAACAGGCCACGATGTATCACGTTATTTCGTTTCAAAGAGTTATCAGTTATGTAAATATACGGGAAATATTACGCTCGACTTTTGGAGAACACTGCCTTATTTGTGACTTTAGGAGAACGCTACCTAATTTGTTTCTGTGACCTCTTGGGTATCCTGTGTAACCATAGCGAAAGCTCCACGAATTTTTCCCAATGGATCATCTACCATTTCGGCGCCATCTTGAATGACGTGATGCTCATGTTACATTGCGCACTTCTTGGACTAAACCTAAATAATTTTTGATAAGAGACTAAACTGCAATAATTAAAGCAATTCTCGGGTACAAATAATTGCATAAGGAGCTTGAGCCTCTCTTGACAAAATAGCAGACAGGTAAAACCACGCCAAACTGCAGTGTCAACTGTTAACACGAACGCACTCGATAAGCTGTGATTACTTCTAGTTCTGATCTTGGTTTTTTCTTAAACCACAATTCTCTGCATCGTCGTCCCTGTAGGGCCATCAGAAGGAAC